ACATTAGACCTTCTACATTTATTTTGCTTATTGTTAATATTAGTATTGGTGCTGATGCTTTAAGTAAAATGTTTTTTTATTGTTGTAATGTGAAGATTAAATTTAACATGAAAGACTGGTAATTTTCAACACTTTTTTTAAGATGACTGAAAGGAGGAAAAACCAAAGTGAAGTATGAAGTTTACTTTATAACAGTAAATAAATATCGGTTCTGCATATCGGTTATCGGGCACATAAACACGCAAATAATTGATATCGGTATCGGTTATAAAATGTCAATATCGGTCCATCACTAGATAGGGCCCTACGTTTTTTGGATGTGCAAATTCCACTGTTTTCTAAAATACCATAAAGTACTCAGTAAATACCAAAGTATATGAATTTGGAAATAATTTTTCAAGAGAAAAGAATTACAGATTTACACACAAAATAATTTCATATGCATGAATTAGTCATAAGCATATAAAATGTATTACAACATAGCAAAGACGTAAAATCATACAGTAACATATAGATACATCATTATACGGTAATTAAACAATCAATCAATCAATCAAAAAAAAAATACCACACAGAAGTTTTATACATTTATCAGCTCTTTAAACAATATTGTGGACTCTAGAATAAATAAATGAGCATTGAAGTTCTTTCTTCTGTATTTGTGGCATCTGAACTGTCCTTCTTGGCGACAGACAATGTTAAGAAGTAGCAAATGCGAGCTGTCACCAGTATTGCTATGTGCTAATCTCAGTACCATCTGATGGTATTTCTTTTGAAATATCTGTGCTTTCAAACATAAACACACACACATACACGTTAGGTTTTTGTGTTTTATGCGGACTCTCCATAGACAACAGAATTTTATACTGTACAAACTTTACATTCTATCCCCTAACCCTTGCAGAAAACATGTACTTTTTACATTTAAAAAAATTATTTCAGGTTTTATTATCCTTGTGGGGACATTTGGTAGGACACGATGTAAAGAATACCTGGACCACACATAAACATATTATATCTTATCAGCACTGACATATACATAACCTGCCTAATTCAACTGTTGTAATTTGGTGTTTGCTGGCATTTGTTGGGACAGTTTTGCTTCGACACTGAAGAGAAAGCATGAACTCTGATGAACTACATTTCCATCCCATGATTGACAGCGATGAGTGTGCTACTTTACATGTGAAGATAGAACTGGGGGATCAGCATGTGACACTATGGTTAGGGAGCTGGGTAGACAAAAGGATTGTTACATGACCAATGCAGGCCAGGCAGACAAGAGTGAAGAAGACTTGCCATGTTTGGTCCCTCAGCGGAGCACAAATGAGGGTCGGTGTGAACGCAGCCTTGTTGAAGTGTTCAGCACTGTGATGGACAGCAGCAGATCCAGCTGCACTTGTCACTGTCTGTCAAGAGCCTGTCCATCCGGCGCACAAGAGTGGACAACAGGCGGGGGAGCGGGTGGGGGGTGGAGGACATTGATGTGGATGTCAGGGTGATAGAGGTGGTGGGCAGTGGGGTCCCGTCAGCAGCAGCTGAGTAGAAGAACAGGTGTGACTGGATGTTTCCAACAGCAGTGACATTTACCCTCTGCCTCAGTCTGCCAAAGCCACACTTTATCTCTATCAGCGGAGACTGCGCAGATTTACTACTATGAAATAGTATGTCTGTCTGAACGACTCACTCATGAAAAAGATTGCCACAGGCATGATCTAGCACCGTGAACAAGACAAAACATATGTGTCAAACATGATACAGTTTGAACAAGTGCCATGTAACTTTCATGTGTCTGCAGAGGAGAAATAAGTATTGGCCAGAGCTGTGGCTTGGCAGTTAGCAGATTTCAGACACATTTAGCCATGGCACTTCACAGGGTGATACAGGTTTGAATGTACATGTTGTTGTTTTTATCACTGCCTGTCTATCTCGCTACTTTTGTATATAATGGCAAAGCTTTAATAGAATAAAACTGTTTTATGTCATCTGCAGGTAGCACGGGACAGAAGGCTGGAACGATGCCAGATTCACCTGCTGATGTCAAAACCCAGCCCAGGTCAACTCCGCCCACAATGCCACCTCCACCCCCAGCTGTCAGTCAGGCAGTCAATCGCAACGCATCATTCACACCTACAACAAGTAAGTTATCCTATAGTACAAACATGCATAGATTTGTTTTTTTAACTTGCTGCATTCATAACACTCTAGGACAACAATATCGTCCAAATTGTGATTTGTCAAGTGTATGTGTGAATGGCGACTTTTTAGAGGTAGCTACTAGCTAACTTAATAATAACACATTGTAGGTAACTCTATCACCACCTTGAATACTGTGTTTTTTTACCACCACAGTAACACAAGAATGCACATTAAAATGTACAATGGGACAGCACACTTAATAAATATGTTCATAAACATGTTATTAGAGTACTGCCAGAACATAGAATAATTTAAAGGAGTCTCTATTAGATCAACAGTAGTTATTGTCATGTTCAGAGTATTCATATAGCACAGAATGCACTTGTAACATGGCCAAGAGTGTTTGTGTATGATATGTTGAGCCATTGTCTGGGTGTGTGAGTGCTTAGGATACACAGCAAGAGATTTGTTTACTGCATACGGAGGGATTCACAGGCAGCATCAGGCTCGGCTGGGCTTGGCAGATCTCGTTACCCTATATAGCAATGACGGGCCTTGTTGTTTCACCTGTTCCATGGGTCGTAGCTTAGCCTGCTTGCCACTCTAAAACCAGAACACAAGTGTGGGGGTCACATGGTAAACCCACATGTGTCCAGCCTGGAATGGCGAGATAAAAAGGGGCACAAGCGAAATGAAAGACTCCGTGTTCAGCAACATGAAGCCATGCACACACTCACACACCCAGCAGTGTGAACATGCTTCCAAACCTGAAGGAAAGCTACCCTCCGAGGTGTGTTTGCACAATCACGTGCTTCCCAATGTCCCGGAGGATTATGGTCTGTAACTCTAAGCCCTCATGCTGTGTCCACTGCTCACGTAATGTTTGTTTATCTGTGGTCATGGCTTCGGGCGCAGGTAACATAAGATATAAGGCCTACTCTTAGGGAGAAGGAACCAAAGAAGCACTCAACCATCAGAAGGAAGAGGAAAGAGTGCAAGGATGAGATGCAGAAGTGGAGATGGAGTAGAAGTGTCGATGGGGCAGCCTGAACTCGGAAAGCTGCAAATCTGCTCTCAGCTGGTAGACATGTGCACAGCCTGATTTAGACACACACCTGCTGTTGGAATAAAAGTAACCCAGTCTAGGGGGCTATTTTTGGGACCTCTTTAACACGTTCCTCTTATAGTTGTGTCTTAGTGAGTGAGTGAGTGGGTGAGCAGTGGGCAGCAATAGACCGGGTGGGCGGCATGTGTGTATGTCATAGAGAGAGATAGTGAGAGGTTGCTGATGGTCCCATTCGCGGTGTGTTTGTTCAACGTAGAGGATGAAATGAAGAGTACAGAACAATGTGCTGCGTTACTGTCATAGTGTATCTGTAGTTTCAGTTCTCAGAATGCATGTGCCCTCTTCGTGCTATGTTGGATCTTCCTGGAGGGTGCTTCCTAGGACTGAGATGGAGAAAAATGAAAGCAAAGGAGTCTGGCGTGACTTAAATGATGCTAAAACAAGCAGTGGCTCTCTTTCCTCAGTGCTGAACGGGAGCAGCCACTCTCCCACGGCGCTAAACGGAGCTCCCTCGACCCCCAACGGCTTCAGCAATGGACCGGCCACCTCCTCTACTGCTTCTCTGTCCACCCAGCAGCTTCCCCCTGCCTGTGGAGCCCGACAACTCTGTAAGCTTAAGCGTTTCCTCACCACACTGCAGCAGTTTGGCAATGACATCTCGCCCGAGATTGGAGAACGTGTACGCAGCCTAGTGCTGGGGCTAGTGGTGAGTGTCTGATGGCTCTCTTTATCATTAACTGTATGTGCTGTCTCCAGTTCTTTTCTCCACTGTTTTCTATTTCTGTCTTATCAGAACTCAACTCTAACTATCGAAGAGTTCCACTCCAAACTTCAGGAAGCCACAAACTTTCCCCTGCGTCCCTTTGTCATTCCATTTCTCAAGGTACGAACAGGCATAAAAACATTCATCTCATACAGACAGAGTTCTTCTGCCAGTAATCTTGTATAGCCAGACTTTTAACTACTTGGATAAAGTTGGGTCCACATTGCATTGTGTTCTGGTCAAGAATTGTCCACTTAGTAAGGAAGGGGCCGTCTGGTTAACTATAAAGCAACCAACCTAACTTTAGGAGTTGATAAATCACATACAACTCAGAGAGAAAAGTGGAATATACAGGTACGCTTAAGGATATCTTGTTTACTTTCTAATAACAAAAAACGTTTGCATATCATAAAAGATTTGAGAACATGAACCATTCAAACTTTGTCCAGCAATCCAGAGTTTGTCTTTGGAAGTGCTCTTTGTAACAGCCAGGGAATTTGGTTTCCCTGCAGACTGATAGAAATGCATGCACCATGCCTTATAAAACCAGCCAATCAAGTTGCTTTTTGAAAAAGCTCTTGCCATTTTTATGCAATATGCATCATACAATGGGTGAACAGTCTGTGGATGTGGTGTCTGAAGCGGAGCCTACTCCGCCGTAGTTCCTAAAAGTCTTTCTGTATCTGTATGAGGAGCTTTTCCTTATGGTTCACCATATGGGAAGGGTTGGAGGAGGAGGGTAGTGGGACTTTGAGACAGACAGGCAAAGTGACAAACAAAAAGAAGGTAGATAGATGGCAGCCAGAATCGGCATACACATAAGCAGACTCACTCTGCATTTCCCTGACCCCAGATACATGGTTTTCTGTACGTGTAGATGAGTGAAGTCCATTTGATAAAGCATCCTTGGCCCCTTCCAACCCCCACGCTCTGCTGTGGCTGGGCTGATCTAGTGCTCCATATGGCCATCATTTGTGATTCATTAAAATTGGCACACTTGTGTTTACCCAGAGTAGAGAGAAGTGGTGTGGGCCAAAGAAGATTTCCTGGCAGATGTTGCAGTGGGTGCTATAAGCAGCATAGCTTTCCGTTGCTCTGCCGCTGTTGTTTTTATGCTGATCTCTTTCTGTCCTCAGACATCGTATAGATCCAGGGCTCAGACACATACACAGATTCTCTGATGCATTGTAAATCTTTCTCAAATGATTCTGCATTGATGCACACAAAAACATAATCAGAATGTAAAATTCAGTCACTTGGAAACTTGGAAATTCAGTCATGTTGATTGCATATTTAATTGCAAAATATTGAGTGACAAAAAATATGCTGCATTGTAACTCCCTGAATCAATGTCACCACATCCCTAACACACATGTGAATACACAGACATACATATGTCATCTCTGTGTCTGGTAAACATACAACCCATTCACATGCTTTACTACTGCAAAGAAATACATGTAGTGATAACACAGATTTAAAATGTCAGTCCCAAGTTGGGTGCTGAAAGAATGTTCTAGTACTGAAGGGGCCTCAAGTCATACGCCACACTCCCCTGACAAGCTTAAAATCTAGGAATACTATATATAGAGTCAATCATTCAAAAACACGTTCACACACTTAAAACTCAAATTTCAACATATTCAAATTACATATATATATATATATATATATATATACATATATATATATATACACACATACTAATACAACTGGGTGTAGAGGGATAATATATCTATTGACCACAGAATGGAACAAGAAAATGTTTGGTGAGGAAAGTTGCCATGGAGGCCCCCCACCCCCATCTTCCACTATGCTTGTGCGCGTGTTAGTGAGATATAGACTACACAAGACATATCTCATAGTGTGAGTGTTTTATTCAAAGCAGAGTACTGTGGTACATGGCACCCAGCACATTGCTCACAGGCTGCTGTCAAAGGCCTGCAGAGTGTTGATGTTACACATCTGTATCATCAGCCAGCTGTGTAGTGTTATACTTACAGCCAAAGAGAAAAAGACAACAAGCAAGCAAGGGAGAGAGAGAGGCAGCAGAGTTCTCCTGCAGACCTCAGCAAGGCACAAACACATGGTGGGCCAGAGAAAGTGTCTGTTATATCTCATCCTCTTTCTTTCTCTCTCTCTTAACACAATCCCTGTTAAAATACCAACATAGCTGGTCATCAGAATATGCTGTGTTTTAAATACTGGTCTCCAGCTTGGGATGCTGATGTCGCCACCAGACTAACTAACCTAAACTGCCAGAATTATTTAGTTAACCAGCTTCAGAAAAAAACACAGAGTTGACTATATTAACCAGCTTAGTATTAAACCAATTAGACTAACCAGCATAATCTAATGATTGCGCCCACCAGGAATCTTAACTTGCTTAACCATCAAGACTTACTTTATTAACCAGCTTATGCAGAAAGCCATTCTGGTCCGCATTCACCATAAACAATAATGTCAATCACAAACCATAAGCTAGATTACTACCAAACTAGGACTAAACAGCGTAAACCAGTCCGTATCATCAACACTAGGGTGACCATACGTGCCATTTTCCCAGGATGCGTCCTGGCCAGGATTTCTATATTGCCTAAAATATCTAGGTTTTGGCTTTGTTTGCGTGTGCAGACCGATCGGTGTATGACATCAAAGTACCATACAGACGGTTATGCTTTCGAAACGCTCTCGAGGTACTTTGATGTCAAACACTGATCGGTCTGAGCCGCACTGCTTTTAAGTCGAAAACACCTAATATGTACGCGTAATTGCATCGCTTTGACAGTAGATCCCACCTTCTCACACGCCATGATTGGTCCATTATGTACAATGCTTGCATGTTATTAGTCAAACTACTTTTTGATCATTACCTTCAGCAAGCATGAAAACAAAGCCAAAACAAATCCTGGCCAGGACGCGTCCTGGGAAAATGGCACGTATGGTCACCCTAATCAACACACTTATTAACTAGCTTACATAGCTAGACTTTAGCTAACCAGCTTGATCAGAAAGAACTGGTCAACGAGCTTCACTAACCAGATTTTGTTAGTGGTCCAGTGGCACCAAACCAGCCCTACTGATCCTGGAGATGTGTGTTTGTCATTATAAAAAGAAAAGCTTTCCTTTCTCACCCACATTTTATTTCTCTTTCTGTCTGGTAGGCTAACTTGCCCCTCCTGCAGAGGGAGCTGCTTCACTGTGCTCGGATGGCTAAGCAGACCCCAGCACAGTATCTGGCCCAGCACGAACAGCTGCTGCTGGATGCCAATGCCAGCTCTCCCCTGGACTCCTCTGAAATCATGCTGGAACTCAATGAGCATGGCAAGAGACATACCCCGGACAGGTATACACACTTTAACACACACACAAACTTGTCTTTCTGTGTACCATTTTCATAACAAATACCTTAAGTCATAAATATCTACAAAGTCAAGCAAAAGGCAAAAATGTAGACAGCTATGGTAAATGTCAACACAACCTTGCCCTGGGCATACTTCTTCCTGTCTAGCTTTGAAATGCACACACACTCAATGTAATGAGTGGAGGGTGTGGGAAGGTTAGGCCACACAGAAAGAGAACGTGAAGAGGGTAGAGAGAAGGTAAAAATGTATGTGGCGTGTCTGCCAGTTGTCTATGGAGCAGGAACAGACTGAGATGCTCTAACATCACACAAATGCATATGCATACCAACAGTGTCCATACATTGGCGAGACATTTAGAACTCTTGACAATCAAAAAATTAATAGTGGGATTTAAAGCACCAATATTTTTGTTTGTCTCCTTTTGTTTTATCTTCTACTCTCAACCGCACTGTCTCCTGTTAGTTCCCCAGTAGTTGTCCATATGTCAGTGATGTGTCCAGATGGTGATCTTGCTGAACCCCTGCTTGAGCTGATCCGGGGGGAGGGATGACTAGAGAGAGAGAGAGACAGAGAAAAATAGAGTGGTGGGTGTAGAGGAATGGGCAGTCCCCTACTGTAATCCATACACCTCCATCTCTGAAGCCTAGGCTTACCATATCACGGCAGGAGCCCCAGCTGTTGCTTTGATTTGTGGGAAATCTGGCCACAACTGCAGAAATGCTGCAAAAGGTTGGAAGTTTTTGGGTTGGTTGTGGAGGCGGGCATGATGGGGTGTTGAACATGCAGCCAGATTCAGATGTCCAAGCCAACTGCACTCTACTCTCAAGTGCAAGAAAACAAGCTTGCACAGTCCTCGCACACACATGTATTTCATGCACGCAGAAGGGAGAGGAGCTTTAGCCCTGAATGCCTGGCTGCTGCACTCAGCTAAACAGATTATTATCAACACTGCAGCACAGGCCAGCCAGATGGCTCCAAAACGCCAGTGTCACTGAACATCTGCCAAAGGGAGCAGCTCTCACAGTACAGCAGCTCAGGAGAGAGACAGAGAGAGAGAGAGAAACGGGTGAGAACGGGAAAGATTAAGGGGTTGGGATTTAAGTCCGTTTCTTGGTATATGAAGGCTAGAGTCCACATATGGCTCACAGTTGGCCTCAACATTTGGACACATGAGTGGAGGGGCAGAGAAAAAGAGGGAGGTGGGATGGGTTAGACTGCAAGAATGAAAAATTATCAATAGCCCTCCTTCCTCTTAAAAATGTCCTTTCTACAGCATTTCCAAGCATTTCTACAATCTTTGTAACAGGACCAAAGAGAGTGCAGGGGACAGGGATGGCTTGCACCCGGAGCACCTGGCCAAACGTCCATGCACAGTGAGCCCCAGTCAGCGCTTCAGCCCCAGCAGTGGATTACCTGCTCACCCTCCCCCCAACGGCCTACCGACGCATCCACCCAATGGCCTTTCACATCCTAACCCTCCTGCCCCACAGCATTACCGTTTGGAAGACATGGCACTCGCCCACCACTACAGAGACGCTTACAGACACGCAGAGCACAGGGATGTCCGGGATCGTCACCGGCAGACAGGTCAGAGTGCTGTAGTCTATAGTAAAATAAACCAATAAGCTACTTGAGGCCAAGTTTACAGTGATTTTACCATAGCTAAGTAGTGTTGTTAACCACAATGCTTTAAACAAGAATTCAAATTATACACAGTCACAGGTGTACATATATACATGCTTTTTTACAACAAATTTAAATATGGCTAATTCTAACAGAGGTTATGGTTTAGACTTTTTAATTTGAGTAATATTGCCAACTGCAGAAATAATGGCAGGAATGCAGAACATTGTAGAATTGCACTTACATGGACATGGATTCTTTATTGTGTTTAGTGCGTATGCTAATGTAGTGCTGTGCTTGTGTTACAGCCGTGCATGGAGCACGTCAAGAGGAAGTGATTGATCATCGGCTGACAGACCGCGAGTGGGCTGAGGAATGGAAGCACCTCGATAACGTATGTGTGACCAGATGCTTTGTTTAATATTATTTTTCATACATAAAGCAGAGAGCATAATAGTTGCTAATTCTGATGGGGGATACACAAGTTATATCAAATTAATGTGGTTAGAATGATTTTTGAAATATGGTAGCTAACTGGTTGCTGGTTCAAGGTGATCTAAGAACCATAACCAACTTGACCAAGATGGTGCACCAAGTCAAAAACAAGGTCAACTTATGAACATAGGAAAGTAGTACAGGAGGGAAAAGGTGTGAAAGACAAAATAGAAGAGCACCATAGTGGAGGGGATGTTGACAGACTTAGGCCCAATCCCAATTCTACCCCTTAGCCCTTCCCCTTTCCCCTACCCCTCCGTTTTGTGCGTTCACGTGAAGGGGTAGGGGTGTCTCAATTCTCCTTTGGTTGGAGGGGTAGGGGTAGGGGAATGGCCAGACAGCCCTTCAAACGAAGATTTTTCGGGACCACACTTCAAACGAAGGGGTATGAATTATCTCAGCGTAAACCGGCTTCAGCGGCAACACAGTAAGCAGCGCATTAATATAGAACGGTAATTAAAGGCTCTAATGCACACCAGCACACCAGTATAGGTGTGTGTATTGTAGGAGCTAGACGACGTATGATGATGTGTGACGGCATAGTAGTGGTGTCCCAATTCTTAGAGGAATATTTTCAGGGGAAGGGGAAGGGGTATAAAATAGAACTGGGATTGGGCCTTAAGCTATGTCACATTTTCGATGGGCACCTGATAGTAGATGACTTAGTTCAGACCTTTTCTGGATGACAGTAAGGCTTTTGTTATGCTTTTTGCTCACTTCACCATTGCCTCTATACAGACTTACACTCAAACACATATTGAATAAAAAGGCCACAGATGGAGGGAGGAACCCAGTGGAGGACGTTCCCACTGAAGAGAGCAGCTGAGACAAGGCTTGCAGTCTGTGAAATCAGGCTTATTCTGGACTGTATCCAAATATGAAATAAATACAGCCAACAACATACTCAAAGAATGAAGAATGGCATCACATGGGTGAGGGAAGAAGTTATTGAGGGGAGGTGGGTGGTTGGGGAAGATGGGAGGAAAGAGGACGAGAGTGAGAGAAGGCTTTAGAAGCATGGGGGAAGAATTAATTGTTTTGGCTTCTCCCACTGGCAGCACAGCTGTTGCAGGGCTATTGTTGCTTAACCACTCAACCGCTCACTGCACCACTGGATTACACACACACACACACACTCAAATAAAGCGTTCTAAATATCTCATGCTCGTCCTGCTCACTAATGCATCAACCCTTCAAATAAAATATAGCATCTTTTTTTATTAGTAATGGCCAAAGAAGGTGCAATGTGGAATTGTTAGTGTGGACTTTAGGATGTAACTGGTCTAATGTTGGTTCATAACATCCTCTTCTACTAATTTCCATCCCTTTCTATCTCTTCCTCTCTATAGTTGCTGAACTGTATAATGGATATGGTGGAGAAGACGCGGCGTTCCCTCACCGTGCTGCGACGCTGCCAGGAGGCAGACCGCGAGGAGATGAACCACTGGATCCGTCGCTATAGCGATGTGGAGGATATGAAAAAAGGTGGGAGCTGCGCCCAGCGGCCTCCTCCTCTTCCTCCCCACCACAACTCTTCCTCCTCCAACACTCCTAACAGCAACGACACACAGCCGCTAGGTACATGCTCCGTTGCAGATGCAGCCGCAGGCGCAGATGTCTCGGCATGCAGCATGTCTCACACATTCTTAGCGACTGCAGACACCACCCTCGTCTAAGTGGTTTCCATGAGCCAACACACCACTCAGATGAATGCGATTTAAAACTAGACTTCAAAAAAATCTGACCTGTTTTTTAGATGACCAGTCAGCATGTGATCCCACATTTAGCCCACTTACCTTACCTTACAGTTTGTCTTTACCCTACCTTTTCTAGTCTACAGCCAGGGCATGGGGCAGCTAATCCTTGTCTGTCACAGCATTGTCCTAACCCACCCTGTTCCTTGGGACTCACAGTACTGTATTTGGGTGTCTCTGTAAGCCAACACACCTGAGTAATTAGTACAGTGATCTATGATTTGAATTAGGTGTCTAAAAGGGAGACATCCAAAATGTGCAGTACTGTAGGTTCCTGGGAATAGGGTTGGGGAACACTGTCCTAACTAGGCACGACAAAGTTCCCAGCAAAGTAATTTTTCTGTTGCCATTGAAAACAAAAATAAATGCACGACACTGGCAGTCACAACATATTCAATGTTTATTATACAGCTATGAGGAATTTAGTACCAATGAAATTTCGCTGTGGGAGGGGTTACTCAGTGTTATGAGACAGAAAAATAAAACAAGCAAACAACAAAATTGTCAATATGCTTGCTTTAATTAGGACTAAAAAATATGTATGTGTCACATCTGGTTGTCAACCTCCAAAAGCATGTCATGATTTCAGAGTTATACTATATTGTTTTGGTATTTTCCACGTCTGAGGGAGTATAAGAAGCTTTTCTCTCATCCAGATAAACTCAAGTCGCTTTTTTCATGTTCTTTTACAGAAATTCACAGAGACTTCCTGCACCGTCCCCCATCAGGCTACCTGCCCGAGGAGATCTGGCGGAAGGCTGGTAAGTGCATTGTCTACTGTCAACTACTTCCACGCATGCACACAGACATATGCACACTGGCCTGCAGGGCCTCACAGCCGTAGTTATGCAAAGCCAGGAGCGGGAAAGGCCATTGAATGTCATTATTGTTAAAAGCTCTCCATCTGTCATGACCATGAAAGACAACTGCAGTTAAAGCTGCAGTGAGAATGCAGTAACCTGCCGCAGTCAACAGCGGAGCAGCACAGGTAGGACCAAAAAACGTGACCCTGCCCAAAGAAAGAAAGAAAGAGAAGTGAGGGAAAAGCACGGCTGGATCGTTCTTGTTCACTACAGTCTGTTTTATTACTGGAGCTAGATATACAGTAAAAAGTTATGGGGGCTGTACAAAAGCCTGGTTGCCCTCTGTGCCATGTAGGTCACACACAATACTGATGGGGTCAGCCAGAGCACAGGTGGTGTCACTCGCCCAAAGGTCAGAGATCAAAGGGCACTTATTAACTCTGACCCACACCAGTAACATTACAGCTGAGTAAAATCAATATGCCATTACTAATATAAAATGCTGAAATGATGCTGCTGTTGTCTGCAAAACTTAGCTGCATTTTCACTGTGACAAAAGCCTTTTTAACGGCAGTTGTTTTTCATGCAGGTGCTACAAGTATCCCGCTCTCGCCAGCATTAAAGCAACTTCAGAACAAGCAGGGTGAGTAACAGCACCTGCATTACAAACCAACCTGCTCTTTTTTAATTTTATTGCATAGATGGCCTTGTATAATTTTTCTAGTTATGTTTAATTATTTTTTTACGCAGGTATTTCTCCTAAAATATCTAATGTAAACAAATTAGACAAATATTGACATGCATTAAGAGGACAGAACTATCAAATTAATGTGGATAGCATATATCAGACAAATCAGACTTTGATTTGATGAAATCAGAATTTGATGAACAATGTTTAAAATATTTTTTGGTGGCAGACTGAGTGCAACCCATAGTTTAAAGCAGTTCTCTTCTGAAACTTCCAGAGGTAAAATGAAAACTGAGATTACTAAAAGTGAGACTACTAGGATCTTGATAAAATGTTAAGAAACTGCTAATTCATGTAGAATTAAAAGTTTTTTTTATCCATTCATTGCTGTCTATGAGAAATAATTGAGATATTAAAGGTGTGCCAAACATGAATGGCCTGTGGGTGTCTAGATTTTCATGTCCTTCTGCCTTTGGTGAGGCCTGTCTTTGAAAATGCAAAAGAATAACAGAAAAAAAAGAAAAGAAAACTGTCATATCCCTGTGGGATTAAAATGTTAATATTGCCGCCCCATGTTTTCCATTATGTGCCAAATGCTCTAGCATATGCTCCCAAGTCTCCTTGATAAAAATTTATTAAATTTGCAAACTAGTTTTAGTGGTGCATGCTCCGATTCTGATTAAGCAGTCTAGTGTTTTCAAAGATACAGAAACATTGTCGGGAACCAAAAAGATGAAGAAAAAAGCAAAGAAGTGAAGAATGAAGGCAAAGACAGGATGAAAAAAATTGAGGAAATGTGTGTGGGAGGTGCGGAGAGAACAAACTGAATACTAACTAGCTTTCCAGCTGAGACAGTAGTGATGTAGATTTGAAACACACACACATACACTCAGTCAGTTAGTAGCCTGAGGCAGAAGTCTATGGAGAATTGAATGGAGGGTGTGTTATGACAGATATTTATGACCGGGCTCCTCACAACCAGCTTTCTAGAGTAAACACACTATGGGGCAAAGAGTATAGAGCTCAGACATATGCAAAATATGCTATAAGAATGTGTGTGTGTGTGTGTGTGTGTGTGTGTGTGTGTGAGTGTGTGTGTGAACCCCCTGCAGCAATACACATGCATTCACCAAGCACATCATATCCTGACAGATTTTGAAATCACCCACATACTGTCTAAACCATAACCCCACAAAACAGTAGTTCTTCTCAAATCTAGTGAGCTGTGTAGTTGTGTATATAGACAGCTACTTCGTTATGCAGCATCCTAACATAAATGGAACTTTGAAAGTGACTGTTTTTAAAGACTTCGCATAGGCAACTCCTTGTGTGAGGCGCAAGAGAATCGATTAATCTGGTGTTAGCATGTTGCTAAGATAACAGCATGATACTAAAAGAATCACAAAAAATGTTTCACACACAAATATTGGGTAAAATAATTCATTTAAAATTTGATTTCACAATGTTTATGATTATTTTCAGTACTGAATGCAATACAAGTATATATGTATAATCATTTGTAATCTTGAAACATCTACCAAAGTCTACCATTTTGGATTAATTGTTCTGCTTGTCACAATGCAATCTGGGGTTGCTTTTTCAGAAAATGATGCATGCAATGCTACATCAGATTTTGGCCAAAAAAAAAGATTTTGTCTTCTAAGACAGCATGCATGGCTATCTATTATTTGGGACAGCCTTCACATTGGAAATGTGACTGTGATGCCCTAAAATGTGGTTTAGGTCACCTAGCTCACTAGGTTTTAGAGCTTATGTTAAATGTTCACATTTAAAAAAGGCCAAGGAAAGACAGTGGAGCACAAGGAGCCCTAATGTTCAGAGCGCTAATGAGTCAGGTGTTGGATTTCTATTTTAGACAACACCCTTACACATTCACACCTGCATGTCCTGAAAACACATGGATATACGCATGCACACAAACATTTACTCTCAAACAGTGTAGAACATTTGTAGAACAAGGTTTGCCACAAATCATCCTGGTTTTCCTTCTTCTATATGGAGTGATCCAGCCTCAGTAACAAAGCCATGCATTTGTGATGCCACTTATCCACTTAGTAAAAAAATATGAAATATTTAATCATATATTGTTAGGTAAATAGGCAAGCTTGTGAACAACCTTTGAAGATGTCTACTGCCTATCAACTCTGGAAATAATTGTAACCACTGTCGTTTGGATCAATTATTAATAGCTTCATTTTCTGACAGAATGTTTTAAATCTTGGATGATGTACATCTGTTTGGAGAGATTAAACAAGCTGAAAGCTTTGAATGCCTCAATAAAGGATGTTGAGAGGAACAGCAGTGGTCTAGGGGTATAATGTCTTACTTTTTTCTCTTGATATTCCTTTCTCATTTCCAGAGGAAGCAGTAAATGAAGTGAAAAGACAGGCCATGTCAGAGATGCAGAAGGCGGTGTCGGATGCTGAGAGGAAAGCTCACGAGATGATCTCTGCTGAGCGCTCCAAGATGGAGAGAGCTCTGGCTGAGGCTAAGAGACAGGCTTCTGAGGATGCGCTGACTGTCATTAACCAGCAGGAGGACTCCAGTGAAGTAAGTACTACATGTAGCCGATGTTCAGAATAGATGACAACTATACCGCATACTGCCTACTATTGGATATTGCCTCAATTCATTTGTCACACTGAAAACATTGTGCTCTGGTTGTTCACTGCTCATTTTGGCAAAGGCAGCAGGTCATCTAGGTATTCTACACATAAAGAAAACGCACATATTACACTGTGTACACTACAGTGTACATACTACAGAAGTAGTACAAGTAGTACTAAATGATAGTTTGCCATTTGGAAACATGCCCACATATAAGCATGCAACATTAAACACAATTAGTCTCATAAGCTAATGTAGTATGTGTTTAAGTGCATTATTTTATCATGGCATGGAGATTGATATCTATTTGTATGGCAATCACAAAACAGTCCTTGTTCGTCTTCCTTCTACAGAGCTGCTGGAACTGTGGTCGCAAGGCTAGTGAGACGTGCAGCGGATGCAACACTGCGCGCTACTGTGGCTCTTTCTGCCAGCACAAGGACTGGGAGAAGCACCATCACGTATGCGGCCAGGGCCTGTCCGGGAGTAGCAGCGTGCCACTCGGGACACCATCTACCACCTCCATCTCCTCCTCGTCCAGCGTGCCCCCCACACACTCCGAGAGCACCCCTCCAGGCCCCCTGTCCCTGGTGGGGCAAACCAGCAGCAGTGGCAGTCCAAAAGAAGCGAGCTCCAGCAGCGTTTCTCGCTCAACCACTCCAGCAACACCTGCCCTGATGGATTCCTCATCCCGTTGACTGATGAACCCCAAATCTTAACCCATGCCCAGCCACGTCTACTGCTGCTACAACATCCTTCATCCAAAACAAGCTGAGGAACCTCCACCATACTTAGCCATCCTCTCAAAATGAACTACGGCAACCTGGCTTCCACATCTTGTTTTCTCAATCGCCAAAAAACCCATCAAGGTTCAGATTCCTTCACAAAAGGATCTACTGTGTTTAATGCAACATGAGCAGGGTCTGGTATACTGGATGCCACCAAGAAAGCCAGGAAAACACGTATAGTTACACGTTACATGTTTTATTCATGTATAAGACAATTTTAGGCATGGCCTCAGTTACCTACACCCTTTAAGTGAGGTGTGCTCTGTGTGAATTGGGGTGGCACCATACTATGAACATGTCTTGACCCAGGTAGGACTAAATATATGTAGGATGGATTCCTCTGAAATGACTGACAGCCGCCACTGCGGGATGTCAATAATGGACAAGAGCATGTTGCTGCTCGGAAAATCTTCCACAGAGCTTTTTCCTCACAACATGACACATTGCATTTCATTTTTTGGCTTTAATTAAAACAAAACAAAAGTCCAAAAATCCAAAAGAAATAATGATGACGATAATAAGAAGAATAAAACCTGTTAACTACCTTGCTAGCGAGCCAAGAAAATCTACACCAGACTCACCTCTCTGTACTGACGTGAACCCAAATGAATTTTAAGTGAAAAAAAAAATACATGATCCAAAACTTTTTATTACACTGCCAAAGTTACTAAGAAGCACTCATCTTGTAACCAAACGCAAACAACTTCACCTCCTCAGCAGTAAAGCCAGCCCAGAGTTCCACAGTCTGTGGAGAGGTGGCATGGTGACTAGACACTCAAACCTTCACTGTGCCCACTGTGCTGCCCACTCAGATCCTGAGGAATGCCGACTTTAGCCCGGATCCATCGCTATGGCAAGGGAGGGTCACACCTGGGATGTTTAAAGCACGTCACCCAGTCCGCCGCAAAGAGAAATGACATGAAAACGAAAGAGAAGGCGAGGATGAGTAAACGAAGAGAGACAGATTGGCCTCAAAAGGAAAGGCGAATGGCAATGGAACTGCCAAAAACCTCATTGGATTGTACACTAAGAATGAGCCTTTTCTTCTCAAACATTTTCGTTTGGTTTTCCTAAAGCTCTCTGAATGCTGAGACATTTCATTTTGTAGTACGATTTCATTCTCCCTCGTTTTCCAAAGCATGACAAGACTGTAGAGTCTCACGAGACTGGCGTAGACTTGGTTCTCTTTTCTCTCGCTCTTTCTACCTCCCCCCATCTTCTGTATGTTCATCCCTTTTGTCTCCTGACAGAACCTCTAAGCAGATATCCATGAAGGGATCAAACGTTGCTTGTAGATATTACTTTCTGTTTCTGGATGTCTCTGTCTTCAATATCTGCTTGTGTGCGTACTCAGAATGAGGAATGCATTCTTTCTTTGTCTTCTTTTAGGTTTCAGCCAAACATTGGACAGAAAAAGACACTCTAATGGGAGAGAAGCTGTATTGTACCTATTGTTCGATTTGTTGTATCAATATTGATGATGAGAATCCTCATGTAGAATATTTTATATTGCTCGCATTGTAAGACAGTGAGAGAACGGAGGTGCAATATGAAAAGAGAATTCAGCTACTGAATGGAACCTCAGAAACGGCCCTTAGGGTATCTTATAATATAAATACACATATAAATATATCTAAAATTACCACAGTAAATTAATGTGAATGTACATAGTATTTAAAAAGAGGTCCAAAAATGAGTTTGCCAAATAACAGAAACCTTTAAAGTATAATGTCTAGAATTTAATTTCTCTCCATTTAATCTTTTCTGTCTGAATGATCAATTTACAACGTCTGTTGTAACAGTGGAGGAGGAAGTGGTTCACATCACTGCTTGTGTAAATTACTGCCTGAGGACTCTGCTTACGGACATGTTGGGCGAGACGTTCTTGTAGCCATAAGCGTGTCGAAACAAATGGCATCACTTTAACGGCACGCCAAACCACAATAGACTGACCTAGCTCGCCCCGCTGAGAAGTTCCCAGACTGGCATTTGGGAGGGAAGCCGCTAGAATCTGTGTGTAACATTGCCATCCTTTGGGCCAAAGTGTCACTGCAGTGGTCCAATGTGTAATTTGCACACACAAACACACATGCATGCACATACAATCACAAAAACAAACCCTCAGTTATCCATAGTTCTGACACAAAAATCAAGCAAACACTATCTGGTTCTCATCTGGTTTTGCTTAAGTACCCAGATTTTACTTTGGACCTCAGGTTGTGATCCAACATAGTACCGAAACATAACCCGTATTTAATGTAGTCTGGAAAATATCAATAGAAGTTGCGGTGATGGCAGTTACAACGGACAAGGCTACCCCTCCGTGTAAAAATACTTAGAATTTTGCCACCAGCTTACACTTGCAGCCCTGTTTACAGCCTTTGTTTTGGTCAGTTATAATTTTCTGCAGTCTAATTGAAACGCCAATTTTGTTGATTACGTGGCGTACTTCTGATACGGACCAAACTTGAAAGGCCTGCTTGTTGCTCATTCTATTTTGGTGTTGCTTTAGGCATGAGGTGGGTTGATGGTTTAATTTTTCACATGGCATAAGCGGATAATCTATTATCGGATTTCTAAAGTAATATATGAACTCATCCAGAAAATAACAGCAACACATGATCCTGAACCAGTGAATTACTAGAACACCAGTCTGATGAAGTAGGTCTCTCTCTCTATCTCTCCCTACATTTTGAGGAGGATTTTTCATACACCATCCTCCCTTTCCTTACTAGCTACCTCCTGTACACAAATGCAAGACAGTTTGAATGAATGAAACTAGCAGACATGCAAATCTATCATCCTGCTCGAGGTATACAAGACATTTCAGCAAAGAAACTCAAAACTTTTTTTGTCTATTTTCATGTCTATACAAGTGATGGGCCACCAAAGTCCTTTTTTCATGGGCTGTTATACAACATATTAAGCCAAAAACAATCTACAGAAGTACGTAGCAATGCAAAAGCATGCACTCTTGCGTTACTGTTGTGTTACTTCGGCAGTAACAAACCTCAGTTCTCAAGGGTGTGATGGGAGTTTCTTTCAAATGTCTGTGCCGTTAAATCGGATGTTAAATTATTATTCAGGTAGCTAAATGTTGACAGTTGAAACCAACTTTAACTTGCACAGCAAAATTCTCTTTAAACTGTTGCTCTGCCATGACTTTAGTTTACCTGACTGTAGAAGAGTGTTTACATTTATGCCCGCTATAGCACCCCCTGTGGTAAGTCTTAGAATTGTTGTGTCATGAACTGTGTTCTGACATATTCGGAATGCAACAATGAGTGAAATTGAGCTTGCATAGTTGTACTAGCTTAGAACGTTTTGAGCCCTGAACATAAACATATCTCATAAATATCCAAAACGATAAAAGCACAGACCAAAGCATAACTGCACATCCATAGAAGCCGTTTGGACATTGCGTCACCTAAAAAAAGCCTGAACGTGGGTGAGCGGCAATGCCCATAAACCAAAGTGTACAAAATGACCATGTTGAAAGCACAAGACGACAGTATACACATCCAGGGAAGAGATCTGTACTATAATTCCAAGCCAGGGGAGTGCTTGTTCCTGGCATCCAAAGCATTAGATAAGATTACAAATGCTTCTCTAACATTTAAACCAACCTTGCTCAAAGATTTCATTATGGGAATGCATGAGTGTGAGTGAGAGATAAAAAAAAATAGAGTGAGAGATACTTTCTATTAATGATTTTGCTAAGGAACTTACTTGAATCTCAAGAGCTTTAAAATAACACCATTAGCAAAGTTATGGTAGAGAACTTCCATAAACTCATTTTGAGCTTTGCATGTCTGCTAGTCCAGAACTCATACAAATATATATTTGCAATATTTTTGGCCATTCTGTTACTAACCAAAATCAAGAATATGCAAATGCATCTTTAACTGTGTGCTGTAATTCTGCTGTTATCTGGCATTTTGAAGGGCCGTCATTCTCAAAGCAAATTTGTGGATGCTTAGATTCAGTCAGCATTTGGCCTTGTCAGTGTATGCAAGTTGGGCAGCTGCTCCGTTCAAAGATTGACATTGGGAAAGAGAGAGAGAAACTACATCCTACACATTAAGCGAACATACTATTGAAGTAAAATGGATGCTGAAGGTTAACAAGTCAACAGCATGGTTTAAGTTATGACCTTTTTATCTTGGCATCCCAAAAGCCCTCCTGAAAAAACAAACCAGCTTAAAACAGCCTAAGGTCACCAAGCTGGTTTCTGGCTGGGAGACTAGCAAAACCAGCTAAAACCAGCTACGACAAGACCAGCAAACCATTTTGGACTGGTTTAAGTAATTTTTAATAAAATATCCCTGCACATCAGTAATGTTGTCAAGCATCACTAATGTTTTTTTCTTATTATTTTTTAATGACTATACCATCCACTAGGTCTAACAGAAAAAAACTGTACAATTGAATCCTTTTAAAAGAGAACACGCAAGGCTGTAGAAGAAGCCTTACACTACTGTAGAACTGAATATTACTTTGACTAGCTGAGTGGGCCGGGCATTGAACACGCACACGATAAATGCCATAACAACAAGATACATATTTCTGTACTAACAAAGGCTTGGTTTGATACATTTAGGCAAACATGATATACTGTATTGTGCAATACATCATTACAGGAAAAGGCATTGTTTCAATAGGAAATGTTGGTGTGTTAAGGAAAATGTTTTTTTTTTCTCTCTTTCAAGGTCCTGTTATCATTCTCTAGACGATGTGAACTGTGCCAGGAGAGTTTTATTTATTTCTTGCATGCTCTTTCCCCCCTTTTGCAATTCCCTCACCCTCTCTTACTGTGCGCTTTGTTGGACATGTGACGCTGTAAACATTCTAAATCAGGTTATTGTCTGTGTTGAGATACGTATCTGTATAATTAAAAAGACAGTGAAATATGACTAGTCTCTCAATTCGTGTATTTTTAACATAAAAAACCACAAAATGTCATATTCTTAAAAGCTGGAATGTGATGTACGCCTGTGTCCATTTATCAAAGGCGGTCCCCAATGAGGTACAATTGAAACCATGTTTATAAGTTTATAGACATCAGTTAAAAGTGTGAAATCGCACCCGTCATAAGAAGGAACATTCATACTGATGTCTTGGCAGCTATCTGTCAATCACATTGGCCATTGACCAGCATTCCTAGTCAAAGAATCCCACAGGAATCCTAGCAAGACATTATTCCAATACCATGAAAGTATGTCAAAATACAAAATGACAAAACTTAATAGGAATACTCGACACATTCCTACAATAGTTTATTTGACTATGCAGGTATTCTTTTTGACTATTTTGACTAAGGTTATTTGGTAACTTCATCCTTTAGGAATTTTTTTTTTTTTAAATTTTATTATTATTATATATTTTTTAACAGTCAGCTTTCAACAACATAAGGTGCATCAGTCTATCCTTTTTAATCTGTACATCCATTTAATCGGTACATCCAGGGCCGGACTGGGATTCAATTTCAGGCCGGGAAATCTCACACTCATCCAGGCCACGCAGGAAAAAAAAGGGCCAAAGTTGTACCTTTTGGGGTACAACAGCTTGAAACCAAGCAGTACACCGTACATATTAGTACCTTAAGAGTAGTAATTCGTACCCTTAAGGTACTAATTTGTAGGCCCACCTATTAGGGGTAAAAAATGAACACATATGTCCTTTTAAGCTTTTGTACCCCAAAAGGTGTAATTTTGGCCCCTTATTTCCTGTATATAGCCTATACATCCACAACAATTTCTGAAACCAGACAACCCTATTATTTGTATGGCCATCACATAAAAAAAGGTCTAAATCCTTAGTCTGGGGCCGTGGAAAATAATTAAAGGTTCTCTCTTGCACTGCACCTTCACTTCCCTTTCCCGTCACTTCACTCTTTAAAATAACTGCTTTCGATAGGAATATATATTTAAAATGTAATTTATTCCTGTGATCAAAAAGCTGAATTTTCAGCATCATTACTCAGTCACATGATCCTTCAGTAATCATTCTAATTTGCTGTTCAAGAAACAGCAAATCTATTTCAGATAAATGCTGTTCTTCTGAACTTTCTATTCATCAAAGAAACCTGAAAAAAAGATCTAAACTGTTTTCAACATAATAATAATCAGAAATGTTTCTTGAGCAGCAAATAAGCATATAATGATTTCTGAAGAATCATGTGACACTGAAGACTGGAGTAATGATGCTGAAAATTCAGCTTTGAAATCACATTAATAAATTACATTGTAATACAAATATTTCACAATATTACTGTTTTTGCTGGATTTTGGATCAAATAAATGAAGGCTTGGTGAGCAGAAGAGACTTCTTTAAAAAACATTAAAAATCTGATCAAAACATTTTGACTAGTAGTGTATTAAAACACAATTTCTAAAGTGCCTAAATGTCAAAATTAGTACAATGTATTTGTTGAAAAAGTCTAATACACTATTGAATTATTAGACTGTGAGCCTGTTACTCATATTATTTTTGTGTTGCTGTCTGCTCTAGCTCCCTCCCTCCCTGTACAATAAATCCATGTGAATATCTGTCTCTGCTAAAAAAAAATTATGTAACTTTACAATCGATATTGATGTCCTTTAGTCCACAGTATTCTGAATGATGATAATAATGGGTGCTACTGATAGCCTGACAGATAGCCTACTAGCACTCAACTAGGTTAATAAAGACAAAATTATCTAGCGTATTTATAGATGAAACTGACCTGCACTTGAAGCCCTGAACAGGTCAGTGATGTTGCTACATTTCACTGCTTCTTCTGGCCACTTTCTCATCATGAGTCCCGCGCATCGGTTCTGTTCGGAATCGTTTGACGGAAGCGCGGAACACACGAGGGCTGATTCGTATAGTGCAGCGCTGCCAGTCAAGACTAACCGATTTATGATTTATTATCGATTTATTATCGAATGAAAAAATCGGAAATGATCACTTTGGTACATTGAGAAGGCATAAATATAAAACATTAATAATAATAATAATAATAATAATAATAACAAAAAACAGGGCAGCGGGCCAAATCTATGGCGGACGAAACCTGCAAAAACAATAAATAAATAAATAAATACACAAATAAATAAATAAATGTTTGCATAAATACACGTATTCTTGTTTAAATACATAAATAAATAATTATACATGTGATGAAAGTAGGCAAATAAATAAAATAAATTGGTGGGCAAATGGAAAATGTTTGTTTAAATGCTAAACTCATCCTAACTATTTTCCTTTGATCACTCATTTATTTCTGAATGTAGTTCCACATTTTTTTCCCTCTGCGCAACATGCTAATGAGAGGGTGTCAATTATGCAAGAGTAGGCGGGTCGTGTGTGACCTGCTTGAGTGTTTGCCTGCACATGCCTATTAACTTCATCAGTCAAGGGGACTGATTAGCTTACACTTTTTCATAGGGTTAGTTTTGTAGTTATAATCATGAGAGAGCTAAATTATAAAAGATTTTAAGTGGCCAATGTAAAATATTAATGCTTACATAGCTCTTATTTGCAATACTGAACTGTTATTTGCTTAATAAACATACTTTTGTCACCTGTATTTTCTGTTCTGATAACTAATGGGAAAAAGCTGTCTGTTCCTCGATTAAACCACTTCATACCAGTCATCTCACGATGACCATGGGATACTGATATTACAGTTGTCTCTAGCTGGAGACTCAATCGGGTTACAAAATATGACGTCAGGAAACGACACTGGCCATTTCTTTGGCTCGTTTGTAAAGTCACAGATACTGTACGGACAATACAGCTCAGTTTTTTATGTATCTTGCTCTGTTAAAAGGAAAAAGTGACTTTAAGTAGGCCATACTGGATTAACACCATGCATTTCCTGTCAGCGGGAAAGCTGCGCCCCCAGTTTGTGTATTTATACAGACATTTCTTTATTTATTTGCATATTTATTTATTTATTTGTGTATTTATTTATTTATTGTTTTTGCAGGTTTCGTCCTCCATAGTCCGGGCCTGGGTACATCATAACGATCCAATAAAAGTAGAGTTTTGATAAAGATTACACAATATCTAATGGGACTTGTTTTAGATTAGCCTACTGCGCAGATCTTACTGGATTTTTAGATGATTGTTATTTGATTCAATTAGGATTGGAATATCAATTCTACATTCCTTCATGATTTTTTAAACATAATTTAGAGGAAAATAATTACCTCAAATTTCAATATATATATATATATATATATATATATATAACACCTGTTTTACTACACTCAACAGCATTTGATTAGTTGAGTCAGATGTGTTAGTTAAAGGCTGTAACAGGAAGGCTGTTGGGGCTGATGTTGAAAACCAGCGAGGATCCACCAGGTAAAGTTGTACAAACTGAGGAAAAAAATATGTATTGTATTATGTCTGTTTACTCCGCTGTGAACAATAATAGCTATGTAGTGGGAAAAATCGTTAGATATCACTATTAGGCGAATATCAGGGACGTTTCACATATGAACATGGCGGATCAAATTGTCAATATCAGAATCCACATGACTTAAATCGATTATAAGATTATCGTTCGCCTTTTCATCGCGTCTTAAAAAATGTGTAAGTGCGCTAATGGGAATCAATGTTTTGTTTTGTATTAGGAGAATTAAGTTCTTTGTATTGCACAATTGATAAATAGCCTACTGTGAAATCGCGACGCACATTCACATATAGGCCTACCTTACTGCAGTTTTTTGTCAGTTTGTCATTCTCATTGGAAATTATCACACAAAGTCGTTGGCAGTTTGGTGACGCGGCCTTAAGGATGGTTAAATGTTTTATTGCACTCAACAAACCAATCGTTACTAAATATTAATTATTTTATACATTTAAAATAAATGAAGGTTTTATTTCTATACATAAAGGAGATAATATTTTAATAACTTTTAATAAGCATTTTTTCCCCTCTCTCGGTTAATTTAAAGGGACAGATTACCCCAAAATTATTTTAGGACATCGAATTTAAGTTTTGTAAGTTTTGCCATTGTTCTTTTGTGTATCTCAGAAAAAAATAACAGCATACAACTAATAAATAATGACAGTCATTTTTCATTTTTGGGTGAACTATTATTTTTAAATAGTCCTGTACAATTTTTTTAATGTAGTGTCAAAATTAATATGTGGTCACAGAAAAAAAAATCATACACAAATTAGAAAAAACAGTTTAAAATGTCATCCTGCAAGAGATGTCATGTCATCTACACATGCACATTTTTTTTTTCTTTGTACATAAGGAGCTGTTTGTGTGAAAAATTATCTTGTTCCTTCAGGAGCTGGATGAAATTCAACTCGTGTGCTGGAAATGGACGAGTCTGACATGCAGTATGAGGTAGAGATACCGCTTCCCTACAGCCCTCAGGCAGGTGAGCAGCCAGCTGGCCCACACCTGAGCCCATCTGCTGGGCCACAGTGTCTTATCACTGCCCAATGAGGCATGCCCCAGAAGGGCTGTCACAGCCCGGCGTGTAGTCTTATCTAAGGACATCTCTGCTTGCGCAGGGACAGCCTTCTGTGACAAGTGTGAACCCTAGTTAAATGTGCCAATGACACATTTGCAGAGTTCCTGGACAGTACTTGAAATTTAGACTTAAACGTGTTCTATATAACATGTACAACCTAGAAGAGTGTCATCTGTCTGTTATCATGCCATGCTCCAATGGCAAAAACATTGACTTGGCTGATTAATGAAACTCTGAATTATGTAGGGCAGACCGGGGCTAATTTTCTAAATTTTTAACCATAGTAGTTAGGTTAGTTTTCTGTCCATTTCAGTATGAAGCTTGAAATTTAGACTTAAACGTGTTCTATATAACATGTACAACCTAGTCATCTGGTCAACCTGTCATCTGTCTGTTATCATGCCATGCTCCAATGGCAAAAACATTGACTTGGCTGATTAATGAAACTCTGAATTATGTAGGGCAGACCGGGGCTAGTTTTCTAAATTTTTAACCATAGTAGTTAGGTTAGTTTTCTGTCCATTTCAGTATGAAGTCTTGACTGAAAGCTATTGAACATGTCTGTCATCATGAACCACTGACAAAAAAAGATACAGTTCATTTAACACACAATAAAAGCATTGTTTTTAAATAATGTGAGATTACGTGAGAAAATCAAACAGTTGTTTTGCCCACCAAAATGAATGAATTGCATGATATTAAAATGAATAAAGGACTTCACTGTTAACATTTTTGGTTAAAATGATAAAGTAGACCAGTGCTTATGTAGTTTTATTGGATACACTTATTTACCCAAATAGCGGTTGCAAAAATATTAGAATTCCACTCAATAAAATGTTTCCCCATATTATATATGTATATATATATAAAATATGGGGAACCCAAATAATTAATTCTTCCATGGCATCACTGTGAAACCCTCTTTTAGAACCTTTATTTTTAGGTGCATTTGGAGGATTTAATTAACAAATATTCTAATTTAGGCCATTTTTACACTAGTGTTTAAAACCAACACAAATATAGCCTCGGTTACTGAATTATATGGCCTAAATATAGCACTAGCCCTGGACCTACCTATCATGTTTCACCTTAAATGATGTTCATTATTTAAAATATGTTAATATTTTATATGATTATAATTAACTTCATAATCTTGCCTTCCTCAGGATTATTCTTCAGTATGACCCATGAGGAGAAAATAGATTCTGATAGGAGATCTATCTATGTGGGGAATGTAAGCCTCTTACATTCTTTAGATTTTCTTTGCTAGGTAGTTATTGCAATAAGTAGAAACAGATTTGAACTTTATGACTGGTATTGTATTTTAATCATGTATTACATGATTCCATTATTTGTAGTGTATGTTTATGGAACACTACAAGCAGTATTGATTGATTTACAGGTGGATTATAGAGCAACTGCAAACGAACTGGAGATGTACTTTAATGACTGTGGCCATGTTAACAGAGTTGCAATACCGTATAATAGATTAACTGGCCATCCAAAAGGGTATGTACCAAACTGGCTCTACAACAAACATATATTTTAACATCAAGCATGTTTTATGAGTATATTTTCCTTGTAGTTTTGCCTACATTGAATTCTCAGAGAGAGAGTCTGTGAGGACTGCCATGACTTTAGATGAAACACTATTCAGAGGACGTTTCATTAAGGTGAGATGGAAATGTACAGCAATGGCATATGGTTATGCATTACATGGCAATGAGGCTACATGTGCATCTCAATAAATTAGAATGTCATGGAAAAGTTCATTTATTTCAGTAATTCAACTCAAATTGTGAAACTCGTGTATTAAATAAATTCAATGCACACAGACTGAAGTAGTTTAAGTCTTTGGTTCTTTTAATTGTGATGATTTTGGCTCACATTTAACAAAAACCTTTTTTTTTTTTTTTCAATTTAAATTTACAATTACAGGAGTACACCATATTTTAATGTTTTTGTTTAAAAATTAAATATGAGGAAAAATATAAAAAACTGTAATCGCTGATTTCCTAAAATTGCATTTATTTAATATAATTCAAAATAACATGAACTGAAAATCAGAATTGGGCACTTTTGCTTATGGTGTGAACATAGCCATGGTGTCTCCGTGTTGGTTTGTTTGTCATGAATCATTATGGATGAAAATCTGTGACAGAAAACCAATTCACATCAAACTCTTTGTGAACTAGGTATTGCCAAAAAGAACAAATATTCCAGGTTTCAGGACTACAGACACAAACATGCGTGGAGGTTGGTCCCGAGGACGAGGTTTCCGTGCCTCGAGATTTTACAACCCGTTCAGGGGCTGCCACTTCATTAGGTCAGTTCTGCCAATACATAACAGCACATCACATGATATGGAGCTTTAATTATTTTAGAGCAGCAGTGGTCCATGACCTTGCACTTTTCAAATATAATGATTCAATAACCTTAGTGGTAATCTGGTAACCTTACAACTTAAACAACAAAAAACAAAAAAAACCTGAAACTAAAAAAAGAAATGAAAATGTTGCTTTCAGATTTGTGAAGACTAAAATTATTGCAATATTTCAGTGACCATAGTGGTATCTTAACATTTATACTTGATTTTTTTGCAAATGTGACATTTGTACATCCATACTTCCATCATTTGGAGTTTTTTTTTTTTTTTTCAGTTGTTATAAAACTAATTTTTATTTTAGAGAAAATGGAAGAGCTCATCCTTGGGTTGATTCTTTTTGATATTCATTTGACTTTTCTGTTATCTTCAAAGCACTTCTTGGTGCTGATTAGTTTATGTTTGAGTAATTGCATGACGGGAGCTCAGTTATTATTTTGTGTGTGTGTGTAGCTTGAATGACACTACAAAAACGGAGACTTGATTTATATTGATTGGTTACTATTTTATTTATATATTTTATTCAATTTCTTTAAAATACTATGCCTGTGAGAGGCTGAGATGTCTTGTGAATTTCAGTACTTTTAATTTTTCAGTGCTTAAATTTGTCAAATCGGTGTAAATAAAATCAATATTATCACGATGAAACAAAAATGAAATATTTATTTACACCTTACAAACAATACACAATAGACACCTGATGTAAATATATACAATTGTGAAGAGAGGACATCAGCAGGCCTGCACCATCATAGTTGAAACTATACTGTCAAAAGCCCTGAGGAGAGAAAAATATTACATTAGCGGATCAGTTGTAACACACAGCAAATACTCCAAATGTATGCATTCACTAAATGCACTTACTTTGATTGAATTGGATCACCAGGATTGTAGAATGGGTTACACATTACATCAGTGAAGGAGTTGTGTAACTTTCTGAACATCTGAGCAAAGACAAAAAGCTCATTACACCCATCTGATTGACATCTCACATTTGTTGTTAAACTGACACAATACACCTATAGAACTTACACTTCTAATTTCGTTGTCTCGCAGAGATGTGTTGGAAGAGTCAACAACAATCACAAACTTCACCTTAGAGTTCGTCACGTAGCCATATCTGTAATTCTTGTTAAGATGATGATATTTTAATAATGACTGAAAATGTTATGCATTAGAAAGCTTTCCATCTTAAAGGGAAGTTCACTCAAAAATGAAAATTGTCATGTTGTTACACACCTGTATGCATTTCTTTCTTCTGTGGAACACAAAATATGGTATTTCAGATGTTAGTAACAGAAGTTTAAAAGTTCACTTCAATTGTGTGGACAACCATTGACATTTCTCAAAATATCTTCATTTATGTTCCACAGAAGTCAGTCAGTCATTCTGTTTTGGTTAAGAATTAGTGGTCAACTGATATGAGTTCCTCAGTAGCTGTTGTTGATATCCGAAGAGCAGTATGGCTAATAATTCCTATAAATACATGTAATTTAATGATAGCAAATAGGGCTGCACGATTATGACAAAAATCATAATTGTCGATTATTCCCTTGAAATTGTAATTGCGATTTATTAATTACGATTATCACAATTTACATTGATGTTTATACCATTTAGGGCTGTCGCAGTGAGGGAATTTCCCTTGCGGTAATTTTGAGTGGCTCAATAGCGCGGTATGCGGTATTATTGCCATACACACACACACACACACATACATA